CAAGATATAGTTATTTTGAGAGTAGCTTGACAGATTCACTCCAAAATATAGTAAAAAATTGGAGAGATTTTTACTCTTAACTCTCGTACACAACACTTTAAGGTTTGGACAAGAGCTTAGTCCATCAAATATCAAAACTGCGCTTCTACTCCACTTCCCATTGAAAAAATTAACCGTGGCGTTCAAGCAAATCTTTAAGGAAAAGCTATAAATCCATGTCATCTTTGATCTCGGTCTCAATTTTGATCTTCTAAGAGGATCCACTGCACTGCAATTTTATTTTGTAATGCAACTTTGCTCTCGCCCACGTGTCTCCCCATTCAATGGTCTTCAGCTCTTGGCGATTAAATCTACCTATACTCGCAAAGTGTTAGCAAAGAACCATTCTACCAATTAATTCTGAGAAATACCTTCCTATTTTCATCACTCGACGCTAAGTTTCGACGTTGTGCTTACCTGGCCAGCATTCGCTGCCATACAGGTTGTAGGGCGAAATCCAATGCGTTTGTTAGAGAATGGTGCAGGGGCAGAAGTTTATTTTGTCCTTTGGAACACCACAGATTGATTGTTCAAGCATGATCTTCCAAGCATTGTGTTGATTATTCAAGCATTTTTGGCTGTAGCGGGAGATACTTGTATCTTCAATATTTAGTAATAAGAAAGCCTCAAAATTAAATGCAAACCCTTACTTGATGCCCGTAGCGCAGAATGTTAGTAATTTGCTATAGTTCATCCACGGAAAGCAATTGTTCAGATGCCCTTTGCCTGTGCACACCAAGGCAGCAAAGTGCAGGAGCCGTCCCTAAGAAAAAATAGTTAGTACAAATATGCAGATAGACTACAAAATCACATGAACCCAAACCTGTGTAGATTTTTGGGGAAAGGTTAGGAATTCAATGTACGGTGAATGCATCGCATCTTTAACTATTGTACCCATGAACATACTGATCAATGGCAAGAGCTTGCGAATTGATTCTGAAAGGTAAAGACTGACAAGAATAGAAGAGAACTCGACATAGCTATTGCATATATTTTTACAAAGAAAGTAAGTGCAGAAAAATCTTGATCTCTTTAAATGCTGAACCAACTATGTTCATTTATCATTCGAAGGGAGTACCAGCTTACCTATTCGGTACAATGCGATTAATCAATTTGTTTGGAGGAGCAAACATATGAGCGAGAGAGCACATGCCGTGTCTGTACATGTATATCCACGAGTCCTTTTTGGATGTCAACCACTTCTTTAGCCGTTTATAAGCACATTTTAACAATCATGATTTTAAGAAGTTTTTGAACGACTATTAGCCTTCAATAGTATAACACTAAACAAAAAAGTTCCTACTCTAGATTCTTCTTAAAGAGTCTTATAAATTAATGGCGCGCTGTTTACATCGACGATTTGGTTTTCCAAGCTAGAGAGAATTTTACTTTATCTAAATCACCGTTTTTGTACCCTCCCTACAAGCAACAAGTAACCACAAGAACATGATGACGTCAGATAGAAGTTCAATTGTTTTCTGCTAAAAAACCAAATTAC